ATTTTATTTTTTTCTTTGGATCTTATTTAATGAATCTAAGGCCTTGAGCCTTAATTGGTATTGAAAATTAATGAATTTAAAATGTGATAAAAGGGGTTGAGTTTTGAATGTTATTTGATAGAGAAGAAGTTGACTTTTTCGATCCTTCTAAGCCATGACTCTTGAGGATGACAAAATGGTACCGTAGAATTAATTCACATTAATGTTAATGCGTTTGAAGTAGAGTTCCGTCTGACTTTTTTTAGTATATTTGTTCAATTTAAGGTTGTGAATTAGGACCAACACATAAATTTAAATAAAACCATCATATTCTGTAATAGAATGACCAACAAGAAAATAATGAAGGCTTAAAAAACAACAACAACAACAACAAAACCCTATTCCCATATGCAATGAGGTAAGAGGGAGGTAGGGTAGTAGGCTGCCCCCAACGCCAAGTAGAGAGCAACTTCCGTGGAAGACCTCCAGCAATCAGAAAATTAAAAATAAAGATAAAATACGATGCATGTATAAAATAAATAAATACATAGTTGAACAGACTTCATATGCAGTCTTCAAATGCGCATCTGTAATAGGAAGTAATCCCTGCAAATAAATCTCTGCGTAAAAATCTCTGCATATGGACAGAAAAGGTAAGTCCTAACTAAATTTAAAAAGAGGAAACATGAAGAGAATGATACCCAGTAGTCAGTGATAGCAAGCTACGAGAAGGTATAAACTCAAATGGGTTAAAACCTAAACTAAGGCAACACTACTCCGCTACCCTAGTTCTAAGCCTTCATAAATTCCAATGACTGAACCGTATAAAAAGTAGAAGTCATGGAAATTACTACAAAAGGCATTAAAAAAGAAGACAGAGGTGCTACACCCTATGGTTGTGGTCCACACTACTCAGCTACCCTGGTCTTAAGTCTCCATACTTTCCTGTCAGAGGTCATGTCCTCGGTAAGGGTTAAATCCTTCAAATCAGATCTCAAACAGTCTACCTACTTCCTCCTTGGTCGTCTTCTCCTTCTGGCGCCGTCGACTATAATCGACTCTACCCTCCTGACCGCATCTGACGGTTGTCGCCTAAGGACATGCCCAAATCACTGTAGTCTTCCCTCCCTCAATTTTTTGGATACAGGCACCACCCCCAAGGACATCCTAAGCGCAAAGTTTGGTGTCATGTCCCACAGAGTCCTACCACATACCCATCGAAGCATTCTCATTTCTGCGGCCTCTAACCTCCTAACGTGATCCTTCTTGATAGCCCAACATTCTGATCCATACAGCAGCGCTGGTCTTATTGCCATTCTATAAAATTTTCCCTTAAGTTTTAGAGGCACCTTCTTGTCACACAAAACTCCAGTAGCAGCCCTCCACTTTAGCCATCCCGCCTTTATACGGTGTGTAACGTCATCATCTACACCCCCATCTTTATGTATCATAGACCCTAGGTACTTGAAACAATCCTTTGAGGGGAGAACGTGTCCTTCGATGCAAACTTCTACATCTTCATCGTTTTGGTTCCCACTGAAGTTTGAACATAAATACTCTGTCTTTTTAATATTGATCCTTAGACCTTTTTCTTCCAAAGCAGTCTTCCAGGTAGCCAGTCTACTATTTAGCTCATTTTTTGTTTCAGCAACTAGGACAATGTCGTCAGCGAAAAGCATATACCATGGAACACCGTCTGGTGTCGCACAATAGATGTCGTCCATAATCAAGGCGAAGATGTAAGGGCTAAGAGCCGACCCCTGGTGGAGTCCGATTTTCACCGAGAATGCCTCGGTGTCGCCAACTGTAGTCCTGACGTATGTAGTAGATCTACAGTACATATCACAAATCGTTCGGATATAAGCAATTTGGATCCGTCTCGTTTCCAAGGTCGTCCAGATCGTATCGCGGGGTACGTTATCATACACCTTCTCAAGGTCAATGAATGACATGTGAAGATCTTTATTTTTTTCCCTATATTTCTCCATAAGCCGTCGAAGTAGATGAATCGCCTCCGTAGTAGACCTGTCTGGCATAAAGCCAAATTGGTTTTTTGAAACCCTACTAACCTGTCTCAACCTAGCCTCTATCACCCTTTCCCATAGCTTCATGGTATGACTGAGTAGTTTAATAACTATGTAGTTACCACAACATTGGGGATCTCCTTTATTCTTATAGATTGGTATAACTGTCGACTCTCTCCACTCCTCTGGCATCTTGGCAGTCTCTAAAATAATATTAAAGATGTTGGTCAACCACTTAACTCCCTCTTCTCCTAAGGTCAACCACACAGTGATAGGAATTTGATTTGGACCGACAGCTTTGTCCTTCCCCATCTTTCTAAGGGCCATTTTGACTTCCTCAATCCCAATCCTACTTGTAGGGCAGTCATTGGCCGTAGTATGATGGTCGGCTGACACATCAACGTTACTATCTCTATAGGGAGAGACACCATTATTAAATAAGCCAAAGAAGTAACTACCCCAAGCCCTCTTAATATCATGATCTTTCATAAAAAGAACAACATTGTTGTCCTTAATAAACCTAATGCTACCTAGATCCTTTTTCCTATTCTCTCTAAATTTTGCAAGCCTGAAGATGTCGTTTTGTCCTTCCTTGGTGTCTAATCTCTTATACATTTCCTCATATGCCTTATTCTTTGCTTTAGCCACTCTTTTCTTGGCTACCCGCTTTGCCTCCTTGTATCTTTGTTTAGCTCTCGATCTTTCTTCGTCATCATTACATTGTAGCAACTCCTTGAAGAAAGTTTGCTTTGTCTTAACCTTAGTTTGGACTTCGTCGTTCCACCACCACGATTCTTTATGTTCCTTGACCTTCCCTGTCGACAACTCAAGGATGTTTTTGCCCACCTCTCTGATGGAATTTGGCATATTATTCCATAACATATCTGTATTATTTGAGTTTGTAGTTCCAAAACCTATATGAGACAAAACCTTACTCCTAAAGTCATCAGCTGTCGCTTCATGTAAGTGCTTCCAAAGGATCCTAGGGTTACCTAGTTTAGCTTTCCTATGAGTGCTCCCCTCGTTGCGTACGCGGAACACCAAAACCAACAATCTGTGTTGTGATGCATATGCCTCTTCAGGGTACACCTTACAGTCAATGCAAGCTCATCGATCCCGATTTCGAACCAGTATGTAGTCGATTCGGGTACAATGTCCCCCGCTATGGAACGTAATCAAGTTTACATCTCTCTTGTTAAAGAAGGAGTTAGTGACCGCCATATCGTGTGCAGTAGCAAATTCAAGCAACGTACGCCCCTTATTGTTCCTACTACCAAAAACTAAAACCCCCATGAACACCGTCATACCCGTCGATTTCGCTACCTATATGGCCATTGAAGTCACCCCCTATGCAAACTCTCTGGTCCTCTGGAATGCTCCTAAGTACATCATCTAACGAATCCCAGAAGCAACGTTTTTCCCCCTCCCTTAGGCCAACGTGTGGGGCGTACACTGAAAGGACATTCACCACTTCCGCTTCTATAATAACCTTAATCATCATGATCCTATCACGATATCTAGAAACTTCAACTACATTTTTCCTTGAGCCTAGAGGATACCAAGATACTCACCCCATTTCTAGCGTTATCTACGCCTGAATACCACAACTTGTACCCGTTACACTCTTTGGCGCGAGCCCCTTTCCACCTAGTCTCTTGAATACATGCAAAATCTATTTTCCTATTACTTAGTACGTCGGTCAGCTCCAACAGCCTAGCATTTAATGTGCCTACATTCAACATACAAACTCTAAGTCTAGTCTCCTTGACATCACTCTGTCGAGCCCGCCCCCTATACGCCCTATGGGATCTAAAAGAAGGACATGACCTCAAGTAATCATCTATAGCCGAATCTATGAGGAACTATGAAAATAGAATAATATTGATTTTTATTATTATGCGAGGGTAAAAATTTATGAATATTTAATTGCTAAAAGCCTAGTGTTAAAAGGGGAGAAAAAAGAATAATATTGATTGTTAATTTATAAAATACGTTCTAATGTTTCCTGTTAATTTCAAAACTTTTTTTTTTTTTACAAAAATTTGAATTGAATACTAAGTTTATTGGTAGTAATTAGGTTACTAATGATAATAAGTAAGTTTATTAACAATTATAAGGTAAATTACGTAAAACACTAGCATAGCACGTTTAAATACCTGGCCGACCACTATATGTACCTGGCCGGCAAGTAGAAAGTAGTTTCTATTTTCCGGTGGGATTTTTTTCGGCGAAGGCTCTGCTGTGGAATTTTAATGTGGTTGCCGGTAACGTTCACCTGCAAAAAGCACAAGCAACTCCAACGAATATTGAGAGAGAGTTTGAATAAAGGAAATTTATTTGTCTTCTGCACTAAACCAAACACACTAAAACACACAAGCTTGGATTTAACTCCAAATCCGATATAGATCAAGCAAACATGATGAAGATTGAACCTATATAGCAACTCATAAGACAATGAAATTCAAATTAGAGCGTAAATCTGAATCAAAATTGAAAACCAAAAACAGATCGGAACTCTAATTTTCACAAAAATATGGAATCTGCTTGGTGAATTCAACAAAGAGAGAGATCAAAACAGTTGGACAATAAAACAAGAGAGTGCCCGAGGCTACAATAGTACAACATAATTGTTCAAATTTAAAAGCATACACCAGAGAGTAGGATTACAAAGGGATTGAAGCAGCATTTACAATTCTTAAAAAAGTCAAAGGGATTCATCAATCACAAATGTAGGTTGTTCCAATGTCAAATCCTTCATTTCTGCATAATTAAGTTACTCCTCTCTTTGGACTAACCGGATGGGATATATCTTACACTTTTTACTGTAGGTCTGTTTGACTCATAATATTAGGCACAACATAATTTTTCTTTTTTTGATTAAGATTAGGCACAACACAAACATAAAATACCAATCCTGCAAACAATCATAACAAGTCGAGGGCTATAAAGCATTAGTGACCACACTGGTGCAAAACTTGAACTGCACTTTAGCTTCACATAGATTAACCGTCGACTAGAATATTCCAATGCTGTAAACTAGACTACCACAAGATATACAATAGCCAATGATGGTGAAGACTCAAACATCTGATATGACTTGGTAATGTGGTTATTACGAGAAATTTGTCAGTAACACAACAGATGGAGATTACAGGATTAGAGCACCTAAATTGTATTAACCTAAATCATTTACTATTTACATTTTTTCATCTTTTCGGACTCATCAGCTGATGCTACCTCCTCTTCCAGTTCAAATGCATCAATCTTCGCAAAATAGGCTCTCTGCCTGTCAATGAAATCTTGGGGTAAGTCATGCTTGTAAGCATATACCTTGGCCTTCTCTCGGTGTTGTTTCTGTGATCATGACATAAACCAACATGCACGGTTCAATGCATATTAACAACATTATCTTCGGGTATGCATATGATTATGGAAGAAAAAAGCTCCAAAGAGACAAAAGTACGATACGACTTGATGCAAAACAAAACAACAACATACTATAACCTATTAGTAACAATATAACTAAAGCAAAAATGCTTTCAATACTGTTTGCTAACCATTGTGTCGATATTTCTGAAACTTGATACTGATAGAGGTAATCATGGCAAGGAATTCAATACACAGTGTGAGTCATCCATAAACACTTTTGATCAAATTGTGGGCTTTATATACAGATCCAAAAGATTTTAAAGAGCTTTTGAAAGAAAAAATTGTCTCAATGAAGGCCAAAAATTCACAAACCAAAGATCAATAGCATGATTATCTATTCAATATAAATTAGATTAAGAAACTAGGGGAATCTTCAAACAAACCTTTCTACAAGGCATCGGACATGATTTGGAAAGACCAATATCACCATCTCCATATGTTTTCTTCCTATATGAAAGACAAGGAGAAACAGCATTAATAGTTGAAACCAAGGGAAAACATTCAATGGCAGATCATCATAATCTGATCAAACGTTAAGTAACAGAGATCTTCCGGATTAATGAAATGGAAAACAAACATAGTGGTTAACATTGACAACAGAAAGTATTACATGTGAATAAATTTGAGCAAAGAAATTAAATTATCTGACTACGCAAGAATGTAATTTTCAATACCCAAGTATTTCATGTTATCACAACATACAAATTCAAAGATCATTAACTTTGACACCCAAATAATTTTGCTCCAAATTCATTTTCTCAATGCTGAAAGAAAAGTTAATTTACAAAATAACGTCGACTTTTGTAGACAGATGTTAAAAATCACAGGCATCTAAAGCAAAACTGTATCAAAACTGACTTTCAGCCCATCAGTCACTATCTCCAAGGAGACTCAATAATGAAAGTAAGAGGAAGATATTGAAGATAAGAGAATATATGAAATTAGCTAAACCAATTTCAAAATTAAGTCAGGCCTTTATCTTTCTACTTTCTATTGTCAAATATGGTCAAACTATCAAAACCCCAAACATTTGGTACAGTTGATCAACAAAACTTCTATGGCACTCATATAAGTACTGTCACGGTGTCACCTGAAGCCAAACCACCTAAAGTGCTGAGAGTTAATGCTGAAGATCATTTCAGTCATTTAAGTAATTACTAGAATATGGCTACTTAGAACAAGGAAAATACTATCTGATAGCATCAAAGGCTACCATACCATGACATTGATAATCAATCCATTTATTCTTTTAATTATGCTATGCTGACACATTTCAATCACCCTTGGTCTTCTAGAGTTATCAAGTACTAATTGTTATCCAAGGACCAAGTACAAAACCTGATTAAAAGGAAATCACCTTAGGTTTGGCATCCTTGTTTCAAGAGAGCAACTCGAAGGCTCCATAATCCCCTTCCCATTGTTCTTCCTTTTTTCAGCAGTCTGCCTCCTTTTGTAAACCGTAGACAACTCGGAAAGTAAAGAATCACCATCGCCTAAAAACAAACCCATACATACAACCCATTAGACCAAAAATACATGCATAATCCATAAAACTAGGGACCAAAATGGTTGAGAAAACATAGATCACCAACTTCCACACTATTTTCAACTATGTTTCTATATAGTTTTATAGTTGAAAACAGTACTCATCGGATAAGCGGATACTTTCTAGAATCTAGATAACTATATTCATTCATGCAGTGTAGGTTTCATTAAAACGAAGCAGATGAAAACTAGAAACTCAATTATTCAAATTCATCGAATAATCGTAAAAGCAATTCTATTATATATAGCTTTCATTGAGCATAGAGATAAAACCCAATAAGCTCTATTGATGCGAAAATGTTAAATCAATTTATTAGAATTAAAACATCAAGATCCACATGAAGAACTAAAAAACTCTAGAAAACCAGTGATTACAAAACCAAAACCCCATATTGAAATCAAGTCAAAACCCATAAAATAAAATCCGAGAATCCATCAAAATCACCTGAAACAGAAGGAGTTTTGGGCGGCGGAGATATGGTTGGGCTAGGGTTTTCCTCGTTACTTGGACCTTTTACCTTGTCTTCCTTATTCTTCTTGTCATTTTTATGATTAGCATTCATTGGGGATGCGGTTGCAGTAAAAATAGCGTTAGAGTTAAGATCTGCATTGGGGTTGTCGTTGAAAAGGGATTTAAGAGGCCAGGAGTGTGAAGATTTGGTTTGGGGTTTAATTGAAGAAGAGGATAAGACTGAAGAAGGCAGAGATGATGGAGTTGTGTTGCTGAGATCAGTGAAGGGTTTTCTTTTGCTGGGTTCTCTTCTTGATTTCGTTGCTTCCATTTTTGCCGAGAGCTCTTCAGCTTCAATTCCCGTGGACGAGTGCAGCGATCAAGAAGATTGTTCTGGGTTGGCGGGAAAACTTCTCTCCCTTCTTTGGGTTAATATACTTTTATTGGGCCATGAAGATCTGGAATTTGGTGATGGACTTAATGAATGGGCTGCTCTTTTCTTGGGTTTCATAAATGGGTTTCATTAGGGTGTTCTAATTGTTAATTAGTCACCGACCGAACCAAATTAATCTAAAACGAATTAATCAAACTTATTTTCTTAAATTTTGATTGAATTGATTTTTTTAAAAATTATTAATAAAACCAACTAAAGCACGGTTAATTCAGCCGGTAACCAAATTAATAGAATCTTTTTTATAAATGTTTTTAATCAAATTAATTTGAATACAATAGAGTTTTTTTAGTTAAAATTTGATTGAGTCTTGAAAGTTTAATGGCTACAGTGTAATTAAAAAATAGTTGGATCTTAATCCTTAATGGATTGGAGCTTAAAATATATAAAATATATATTATATTTAATATTTTCAATTAATTAACTAATTTCGAATCGAATTAACCAATAATCAAACTTTTAAGTTTTCTTAACATTTAACCGATATAACTTCAAATTAACTAACCGATTAACCGAATCAAATTTTGATTAATTCAGTTAAAACCAAATAATGAACGTCCCTAAGTTTCATTGACTTGTTTTTGTCACCCATGCACGTTATCTTAGGTTGTACTTGTGTGTGTATATATAAGGATGGACCGAGGAGTCTGGCAGAGTGGTCATATTTATAAGAATTTTAAATTGTTATATAATTTAAATATTTTTTATTGATAAATTATTTTTATTTTTTTAATTTTATAAATTTATTTTTAATATAAAATTATGTATTTATCCCTGTAAATTCATGTGAATATTCATATTGAATGAATTAATAAATTTTGGTAAGAAGGTTGTGAATTAATAAATTTTGGTGAAAGATTGGAAGGCAACACATTGCCTTGCACATCCTTGCTGCTGTGATGTTGGAAAGTCTTTTTCTTCTTCCTAACTTTTCCCGTTTGAAAACTCTAAACACATCCCCTAACCAACAACTCCATCCTTTTTCTTGCATTCTAAATTCATTCATCCATTGTACTCTTCTGCCCTTCCAATAATTCATTTATATTCTTATACACCTATATTTGCATACAACATAACTGAACTATAGGTGTTCGTAGGATAATTAGGAAAGGTAATGGGTCGGGTTAGGTCGGATTTTCGGTCCATTTAATTTGATCCAAATATATATATATATATATATATATATATATATCCTCCACTCAGAATTTAATTCGACTTGGATTTAAGATGACTTCATCCAACCCAAAACTCAATCTGTCTTTTTGAGATAAAACTTGAACTTGACCTAACTTAACCCGATACAAATATATTTATAAAAGACTAATAAAATAGGGATCTAATTAAAAACTAATATAGAGAGGGGTATTACTAAATTATCCCTAAATATATAAGAATTACATTATTTTTCGGGTCAATTCGAGTATTTTTCATCATAAACCCAAACTTAACCCAACTCAAACTTATCCTCTAAAAAATTGACCTGACCTAAACCTAGACTTTAAAAAAAAGTCGATCTAATAAGATTGAGTTCAATCATAACCTGTCAAGTTCATGTATTGTGTGTCCCTAATCATAACTACCATATTTCAAATCCATAATAACATGAATTTAAAAAGAGAAATTTTCATTATTTTTTTATTTTTTATTATATTAATAAATTGATGTTTAAAAATTAAAAAAAATATTATACAAATTATAATAAAATAATTCTTCACACATATCATAATATATTTTAGACATAATGTTAAAATTAGTCTCTAATGTTTATTAAAATAGTCATTTTGACACTTATTTTTTAGAGCATTTTAACCATCAACGTTACATTTTGGGTAAAAGAAAAAATTATCTATGAATAAAAACTATTACTTAACAAAGGACAAAACACTAAAAGAAATGTCTTTTACCTTAAAATAAAATATTGATGACCAAAATATTCTAAAAATGAAGAATAAGGGACAAAGTTATAATTAATTTTATTTATTTTATAATGTAAAAGTAATTATTTTATAGTTAAAAGTATTACAATATATTATTTTTTATTTACTTGAATTTAAAACATTCATAAAAAATATTTTGAAACTTTTTCAAATGATATTTGAAATTTATAAAACAAAATTATTTTATCAAAATAAAATAAAAATATCTTAAAACTTAAAGTTAATATGAAAAATCTGAAAAATGAGACTAACCGAAAAAATCGGTGGACTATATCAATAATAAATTATAATTATTATTTAAGATTAGTTATCAATAAAAGTGTTTCAGTTATATATAAATTAAATTTTATATTTAATTACTCTTCTTTTTATATATATATATATATATATATATATAGGAGCGTTTGGAAGGGTGGATTTGTCATTTGATTTAAAATAAAATAAAATAAAATAAAATAATATGGGAAGCCCCCATCATATGTTAGTTAGATTTATCATGGTAATCAACATCAATAAAATAAGGTATAACAAACTTCCATCATTATCAGCCAACAATTCTTTTAATTTAAAGCTTCAAATAAAGAACTCACATCTTCTTCTTCTGCAAAATCACAACTCTTTCCCTTCTTCTTCTTGCTCTGCACATTAACTGAAAAAGTAGCAGGTAAAAAATGGATTGTTCAATTTGCAGTTCAATGCCATTTATTCTAAGGCCTCCAAGGAATACAATATGTGGGGCTTGCTATGAAGGAGCAAGAAATGTAATCACTTTGATGAACAAGCTCGAAATTGATCATCACTGTAAATCACCACATACTACTCCCACTGCATCTTCTTCACCCAATTCTTGTAAGGCAAGCAACCTCTTCTTTCAAGTTTTCTTCTTTTTCTTTTTCTTTCTATGCGACGTGGATATTAAAATCTGACTTTTCTTTGGTTAACGATCCATTTTATTCATATTGCATACCCTAAAATTTTATTTGTGTTCACCTCATTGAAAATGTCATCAGACCTCCTAACTTTAGTTAATTTTGATTGTTCTCTTATTTTTTATTGTTAATTATAGTTTATTTCTTTTTTTACTATTATACTTTACCACTTTGAATTGGTATTATGGTTCACTGGTTGTTAATATATGTGTTCACTCTCAAAAATATTTCCGGATCGATCATTATTTATATGGTGACCTAGAATTAATGCATCTCATAATTTCTTTTACAATTTCATAATTCCATGGCTGCCAATATATGTGATTTGTTTTGTGCATATTAGCAACAGCCACTTGGGAATCTTAGCAAATGGATAACAAACATGAAGGAGATAGAAGAAGATCTGAACAAGAAAATAAGCTTCTTGAGTGGACTTATTGTTGCTTTTAGAGATCAAATTCACACTGATATTCAGCTCAAACCTGGAAACGATGGTCCTACCATACCAGCACACAGGGCTTTACTTGTAATTCCCTCTCTTTCTTCATTTTGCTATTTTATAAATAATCTCGTATGATTACAAGATAGTATTTGTTCAAAATTTTCTTAACCTATGACAACGCACACACCCAGACTTGTAATTGTGCTTGGGCGGAAGGACCTTTGCCTAAACACCTTCCTGCCCAAACCACCTAGTGTTTTATTTTTGTTTTGATCATTTAATTATTTTTGTTTAAAATTATACTTAACGTTATATTTTTTTCTTTTTTGATTATTTAACATTAAAAAATTAACGGTAATACTGATGTGACATTTAAATTATTCTTTCACTTTTCACTTAATTATTCTTTTGTTATTTTTGAAAAAAAATAAAGAAGGATGAAATCGAACATAGACCCTCCTAAAAAAAAGGTCATATTGTTTTGTTTGAGTAATTGTATGTTTAATAAAATTTATTAATGTTTTATATTTAAAATTTAATGTATTTATGAGATAGTTTATTGAACCTAATAAAGAAAATAAGTTCCAAGAAAATATTTATTTTTGCTTGTCATTATATTTCATTTTTTCGATATTTGTTATTAGAGGTCTAACTTTTATGTTCGTCCCGTACCACTAAAATCTCACAGAGGGATCTACTCACACACTGCAATTGCAACTGCTTAAATCGGAATCCTCTAGAAAGAACAATATTCTCTTTTACAACTGACTTATTTATTTTATTTTTTTAACGTATACAGATTATGCATATCTAAACGTCAGATTTATTGACTTAAATTATAGGCAGCGAGATCAGAGATATTCAGGAACATGCTGGATTCAGACGACTGCAAAGCTCCACCAAGTGATACAATTACTCTACCAGAGTTGAACACTGAAGAACTTGAATCTCTTCTTGAGTTTCTTTACAGTGGAAACCTGGATTCGGACAAACTCGAGAAACATGTCTACTCGTTGTTCGTCGCCGCCGATAAGTACGAGATCCCCTACTTGCAGGATTTCTGCGAAAGATACATGTTGTGCTCACTGAATGCTTCCAATGTTCTTGAAATCATAGAGATCTCTGATGTTTGTTCCAACAAGACATTGAAGGAGACAGCGTTGAACTTCATTGTTAGAAACATGGAGGACATTGTTTTTTCGGGCAAGTACGATGTGTTTGCACCCAAGAATCCTCACCTAGGTTTGCAGATTACAAGGGCGTTCTTAATGGATGCCAAAACCAAAAGAATTAATGGAGTCTGATTATCATCTTGTTAATTTTCTTTTGGAAAATTTATTAATCACCAAGAATGTATAGAATACATCTTTACATGCAGTTATGCAAAGCAATAAAATTATGATTTCAAGAACTGATGATTTAATTCTTTTCACTTTTAATTTGCCAATAATGTCAACTTTATTCATTACTATTCAACTTAAAATTATTATCCTTTATCAGAATTTAATGTTATGATTTATATATATATATATATATAAAACTGCATTGAGTAGCTTGATTGAGTTGGCAAATGTTAATTATTAGGCCTAGCCAATAAATAAAAAGTTGGATTGTTTATAATTAAAATGAAACCAAAAGT